AAGCAAGTGGAAAATCTTGTCAAACAACTTAACCGGCTGCCGGCCGGCATAGTTACAACTTGCTACAACTGCCACTAGCTGCAGCGGCAGCAGCAGCTGTAGTAGCAAAAACCAACAACAACGAAAAACAGCAGCAAAACGCGTAACCACAACGTAACAACATTGAATGAAATTATATAATAAAAGCAACTACTACTCAGTGCCTTGTTATATGACCAGACAATTGAAATGCATACACTAGCATAGATATAACTTTCTCATGCGACAACTGACAATAGATGCCGGATTTTATATGTGTGTATATTTATATGCCGAATTCCTTGAGTTCTGTTGCACAACTTTATGATACTCAAATTTTTGGAGAATGTTAAATGTATTCAAAGCATAGATACTGTATAATCTTGCTACTCTTGTTATAAAATTTCATTATTTTATAGCTTGACTAAGGGAAATCGGGCTCGAGCAAACATATTTTTAACAACGTATCTACGCTTCCAGTCTAACCAGTTGCCATGATAAAAATAGCTGTGCCCATTTAAAAACTTATACTGCAGAGTATCTGTGTTTCGTTATGCACCACGTTGACTTTTCTCGATTGCTTATAAAATGGCCCCAAGACCCACAACGAGCAAAATCGTAAAACATGTGAAGCGGCCGCAAACTTTTAATGCTCTGCCCGCCGAGAGGAAACGAAACTTGGGACACACTTGTTGCCATTTTTATGGTCAACCCGAAAAAGAAGAAAAAATAAATAAATAGAAGCAACAATTTTTACAAGCTGGCCATCATTTATAAAGTAAGGTTTCTTTTTTCTCGAATATATTTTTTTTTGCTTGCAATTTTTTTTTCTCTGCGGTTGATTTTCAGCGTTTAGCAAACGCTTTGCTCAAGGAAACCAAACACTTGCCATAGCTGTCGGCCTTGCAGTTGGGAGCTTTCAGCAATTAATCACAACTAACCATGGCTCATTAGCTTTGCAGCTGGCAGCTGCGGCAACTTGGCTCAGTCATGAACATAATAGTTGCTGCCTCAAGCCTGCTCGAAGGCAATTGTTTGGCCAGTCATCAGTTTATCGAAGAATTCTCCATGTTTGATGTCTGATTAGCGTTAAGCTATTAATAGCTGCTGTATGGGCCAAGAGCTATGTATGTGAGGTAAGTGAATTTGAAAGCCACATTAAACACGTAGCCAACAATGGGAACTGGTTACAAGTGACACTTTTGTCATAGTTAAATTATCAGATGCTTGCTTCAGAGACACACAGAGAGAGAGAGAGAGAGCGAAGCAGCCACAGCCAATAATTAGCAATGAAATCACGTGCAAATTGTTGGCCCAACGTTAGCAGCTGCCAATTTCAATTAAAGAAAAGCGCTCGGCTTCCCAGCGGACTGCTGGGGTGAACCTTTAAGTGGCCGTGACTAATTACGAATTAAATTGACAGAAAACGTGTCCAACGTGCGGGCAGCACAGTTGTAGCGGCGACAAAATTTTGAAGTTTTACATAATTTATGAGCGTTACTTTTTTATGCCTTGTTCCCAGCTCATAAGTCAAGTGCCCAGCTTCGCCTGTCAGCTTAGCAAAGCCTGGCCACGCCCCACGCCCCATCCGCAAGGCTCAAGGCTGGCGAGCACTGACTAACTTGCCAGTCAGTCTGTCTGTCTGTCTGGCCAGCTGGGCAATTGGCCGGCTGGTTGGTTGCGTGCAACAAGTTAAGCCGCTGGCTGACGTGTTGAATGGTCTACGCTTTAGCTGTTGCACTTGTGACGTGTATATAGCCCGAAAAGCCAACAGCTTAGCCCATGCATGGATATATAAATGGATATATAGATGCCGCTTGACAGGCTACACACACACACACACACAATCACACAAATATGTGATCAACGCACGTGTAACTGGCTGCACAAGCTGACCAATTAGTTGGCTGGCTTAGTGTTTAATACGGCGGTTGTCTTTTAAAGCACAGTTAAGGGCGTCAGTTGTTGCAGACAACTGCACAGAGAAACACGTACAACTGCCTGGCTTTTCAACTCGCAATCTAGTGTAGTTCATTAGCAGCTGGTGCAGCCAGAAAAGCGCTTTCGCGAAATTGCACAAATTTCATTATGAAATATGAAGCCATATTTTTTCCAAGCAGACATTCAGGTGCTATCATTGAAGAAGAGACGCAGAATAGACGCATATCACACCAGAAATGACATTTCCAAACAAATGTTGGTTTAACTGTTTGGCTAAATGATTCTCTTAAGAAAATTTATATGTTTATCTTTTTGTTCCATCTCTCGTTAATTCTTAAGCATTTGACGGTTTTGTTGAAGTTTCTGATTAAATATATCTATGTTATATTACTTCCTTAATGTAAAAAGGGTAACAATGTATGTAACAATCAGAAGGAATAGTTTTCTTGATCAGATACAAAATCTGAATCGTTCTAGCCATGTCCGTCATTCCGTATAGAGCTATAGACTAGAAATTTTAAACATATATTCGTAAGAGCTAGATTTACAAAATTTGTAACAAGTATATTCATACACAATAACTATATTTTATATTCGGGATCCCTTCTCCCGGTTCTCCCAAAAACTGTGAAAGTCTCATCTCTAAAGGTTTGTTAATTTTTAGCAACAACAACTGAGAAAAATATGTATTCTGTTATTCTTAAACGAACAGATTCAATTTGTTAGCAAATTACACTTTCGAATATTTAAAATAAAATGCATAAAACTTTTGATATCATTTTAACTTTTTCATGATTAGCTCGCTTAGCGCGTACCAAAATAAAATCCACGAAAACAATCAAAAACTTTTAAATCCGATTTACTGCGCTCAATGCCATGGCCGATGGCGGCAAAACTTCATAATTAAGCACAAACGGTCATACACACGCACACACACACAAGCCCACTTGGTTACACACATTAACACGCAATCGGCTACTATTAACCTGGACAGTGATCTCGGACAATGCAGCGCTAAATGAAAAGCTGGCGCCCCTTGACAGGTCGGCCAACATGTTAGGGACAGGCAAATGCAAGCAGTAGAGTGTTGGATAACGCGCATTGGCTGGCTCACACACACGCGCACACACATGGGTGAGCCATGGTGTCAGGAGTTGCAAAATCTCGCATATCCTTCTGGTTGCCTGACTGGCTGTCTGTACGCAGCGAACGCCTGTGTAGTTTTAATTAATTAAATTTCACGCTCATAAAATGTGAAACAATGTGCAAAACTCAGACACACGCTTGCCCCCAAAGCTTTAAACGGATCCAACTGAAACTACACTTGTTTAATTACTGAACCACGCCAGAAACTGCAACTGGCAACTGTTATAATGCAATCCAACGGAAATTGGCTCATGTGCAAGTTTGCAACAGTAGCAGTAACAGCAGCAGCTGCAGCAGCGGTTGCAGCGATCGCTGACTCAGCTAAATGGCAATTGATATGGAGTGAAAAGTGCGAGAGCACGAGCAACTGGGGCTAAGCATAATTGAAAGCGTCATAATATTATCCAGTCGCAAGCGGCTTCATAGCAATTGATTCATTGTAATGTGTGCCAGTTGGACAACGGCCGACAACGAATTCTATGCACAGTGCATTTCTAGACTGCGCAAACACACATACACACACTATAATGATGCACACGCGATTGCCCCATTGCCGCATATAGTCATCAAGCGTATCTTAAAGATACTTTTCATACTGCACAGTAGCTGTGCGGCGAATGCAATCATTAAGCTGTATATGAAAGCGTTACTTTTTGTTTAAGTTTTTATTGGCTGGCATTAATAGTGGACTTCCCTTTTTGCGCCGCATCCGCCACATGTGGCGGAATTGTTTAGATTTTGTTGTCGCCACTGATTTCGTGCATTTTTTTTTTGGCGTTTTTGCTGCGCAGCACGCACTCACATACACAGTGTGTTAATGATCTGCTCTGCTGCGCCGCATAATAAGCGGACGAGAAACTTCGAGCAATACAATAACGTTGAGTCTGGACGTTATACTATTTTGCAAATCATTCACGCTTGTTCGTAATCGCTTTAAAATTAACTGCTCAGCTAAGTGGTTAATGTCTGCTTAAAATTGTTTAGTGATTGCAATAAAAATAAACAGATGTAAGCTTAAATCAATTAGTTAGTTAGTGAATTAGACACATTATAAAAATTAGCAACACAGCACTTTATTTGACTAGGAGTATCTAGATCTAAAATACACTAATAGGATTTACATAATATCCAAAAAAAAAAAAACAGCACTCTTGGTCGCTGGGAAATTAATATTTCCAAAAATAAGAGATCTTAGTTTGTTTTTTTTTTTAAGTTAATTACGCTAGAATTTATAAAATGACCATGAAATTTTCTACAGAAATTATGAAATCTGAAAAATTATTTATTGTTCATTATTTATCATTTTTTTGCATATGAATTGTGAGAGACCGGTATAAAAAACCTTTGCTGTACCAAATAAATTAAAAAACAATGTACAAATCAGGCCAATATATATTTTATGTTATTTGAAGTCAGAGATGTTTGATATTTTAGCTTATGAATTTATGTGAATAAGCATACTTTTAATATTAATAAGAAGTACTAAATCCTTTCAATAGTAATCAAGATGTATGCCAACAAGAATAGAGAATAATAAATTGAAATAGCGCCAGACGGCTCAAAAATGTTCTTAGAAAGTTTATTTTTTATAATAACTAGAGGCTATCAATTATCAAGTTTTTCCCTTCGTAAATTTAATTCGTCCGTAAACAAATTTATTTCTAAGTGTTTACAAATTCCCTCTTGCCTATTGTCAAATTTTGTCTAGAGTCGAACCATTTAAATTACAAACGAAGCACACGATCTTAGCTGTATAAAAATAACAAACAATAAAAAAGAAAAATTGGAGAAGCAAAAAAATATATATGTGTAAAAATTAACAACATTCGTTCAAGTTCCAAGGAATATCATCAAATGTTGATTTCATTCGCTGCAGCAATTTCCATTCTCATGCATAAATATTTAGCTATCGTTTGCGTTTGACGTTCTCCCTTACCGCGACGCCGACTGCTGATCTGATCTGATTTCTGGCTTTGAACCATTGGCGTTGGCAGTATTGAGGAGGATGAGGAGACTCTGCCGCCGCCTCTGCCCGTTGCCGTTGATGGTGTCTCATCGCCTGGCCAGCGGAGTGTCTGGCTGGCTTTTTATGAGTGGGTCGCTGTTTGTGCCTTGGCTGCCGCTTGTTTTGTTTATTTGCTCAAGTCTTTCGCAAAAGTCGTTCTGGCAACAGTCGCTTTTTTCGTCTGTTTATCTTGTTCAAATTGCTGAAGAATCGTAAAACTTAAATTCACATATATGTGACGAGCGGGTTGCGCAGACGATGATCGGATAAGCCGTGTGTTTTATGCGTTGCCATCAAAGCAAAAATGTGCAATTAGCAAGTTGGTAAAGTCGCAGCCAATTAAGAAATAATTCGCTAGAGTCTTAAGAATTACGTAAGAATGTAAATGCCTCATTAGCAGCTTTGCTGATAACACGAGTGCATCGGCCCACCGGTGGGTGATGTTGCAGACAACAACACAAGATTCTGGCACGTATCCAGAACACACACCATTACTCAAATTAAAAAAAATAAAATAAAGCATCAAACTCTCTTAAGTAGCTTTACTCAGTGCAACCTGTTGCCGCCTGACTGCCTCATGCCACAAAAGTGGCCGGGCAGGTCGTCACTTACAGCCCAGACATTATCATCATTCTCATCAGGAGCAGCAGCAGCAATGCGACGACTCTGACGATATATGGGTGAGGAAAATGCTACACATTTTGGCTGGCAAATCACGCAAATGAAATGCACAAAATGTGCGCCATTTATATCATGCAGCTAACACCCAGCTCCCGCGCCGGTGACGTGTGCCAAGCTGCCTAGAAACTAGGAGGCAAAAATATGAGCCAACAGGCCACAGGCAGGCAGGCAGACTAGCCGCAAAAGACATTGCACGAACTGCACGAGTTGCCAGCAGGCGACTGAGTCAGCTGCATACCCATATAAGCCCCACCTCCCTCCCAACCACACACACACACACCACACTGCTCCTGTCGCACACCCATGCCCCACAATACGGCTACACTCAATTGCGCACTAATTTAGCGCAGCTAGCACTTAATAATTTCTTTTCATAATTGAGTAAAAAAAACTGGTGACGGAAAAGCGAACGGTGCGACGCCTGGGTGTGATAGAGATGTCAAGAGATGATACCGGGCAACTGCATCTTGAGTAGCCAGCTAGAGAGCATCTCAGGCACAGCGGACTGCAAGTTTCGAGGGTTGGCCAAGTAATACGATTGCTCGCATATATAGTTTTAAATAAACGATTGTCCGAATACTTTCAGAGACCCGTTTAAAGAAATATATAACACTTCTATTTATGGTACACGTTATTGGTGCAAATGTGAGGAACTCAAGAGTTCCCAAAGTAGATGTTACTCGTCAAATATGCCACACGATACATTGAGCACCTTCGCTTCCATCTCAACTGACTAGCAAAACGACTGGCTTCTCCTGGTAGAAGAAAAACTAAGTGTCCCATTACTGTAAAGCTCCAGTAAGCGCCTTCTGGGGCAAAAAAGAGAAGACTCAAACGGTGGCATCCACAGGAACTATCTAGCAGGATGCTCTAAAATTCACGAAAACTACATCAATATACTTAAAATTATGGTCCACTTTTGCCTAAATAAATTTAAGTCTCAACGCAATTTTTTCCTCACATATAACTAGCTTAAGTTTGCAATTTAAGGTATTCTTGTTACAAAAAATAAACTTAATAAATATACTCAATTTCAAACCGAACAAAAATTGTACTACACTTTTTATATATAAATATGTGCTATATTTGCAGCATGTCATCTTACTTAGATCTGAGTACCATAAATATTATAAGGAACTTTATAAAAACTACTATTTTACAGAGCGTCTAAAAAGCTTCAATGCGCTTAGAGAGCTGTGTCAGGTTTATACAATAAAAGAATCAATAATTTCACGATCATACCCCGCTAAATGCACTGCAACAGTAAATTGCCCACACTTGAATCGCCTTGCGTTGATTGAGCTGAAAATGCATTCAGAGCCGTCGGAAAGAGATTTATGTTTGAGTTGAGGATAGACGGCCCAGAGAGGTGGCTGTGGAGGGCAATGTTTGCAGTTGTAGGGTCTGCCACGTCTGATGTAAGTCACCATGAAATGCTTTGAAGTTGAAGGCGTTAAAAACGCAAGGTGCACAAATTAGTTGCGACTACTTGACAGTAAATGCCACAAGTGCCACTTGAATGGGAACAAAAGCAAATTGAATGATGCAATTATACCACAAATAAATGGCAAATGGATAAGATATTTGGACTCAAAGGGATACGTTAACGATAAAGACGACAGCAAATTGGCTGGCTATTAATTTCCAATTGTTAGCCCATTGATGACACTTTGAATAGCGGCCGAAAAACCGACAACTTAATTGGCTTAGCGGTTGCCCAGCAACAGCACATGCACACACATGTAAAAGATAGGTACGCACACACACACACACACATGCACACACAGACGTAGAGGCATAAACAAAAGGCAGCGCTAAGCACGCATTACGAAAACATAATATGTTAGGCGATTAATCAACTGTCTAAATAGCTGCTTTCGAGGTTGGGGGGGGAAACTCTGGGGCTCTTTAATTAATTTATAAGATTTTTATCAGAGGTCAGAGCCAGCGTTGAGCTTGGACCTTGCGAGTGACCCACTCAACGGGCGTGATAATTGCACTATAAAAATGCGCAACTAGGGAAATAAATTAGCAGCCTTTTTGTTTTTCTACCCATTTTGGTGCTTCTCTTTCTACGAATGACTTACGATGAAATAAATCTTAATTAATATGAAAATCGATTACTTTGCGCATTAATTATTTAAAAGTAGCACTCAAATAAACAGCAGTTTGTTGGCAACAGTCGAATTACCAAATAAATTATGGGACAGTAGCTGGAGTTGTGCGGTTTAACTTACGTTTTCTTTCTCGTCGTAGTGCAAACTTACCTGAAATGAAAATGAAGAGAAAATACTTAAATTAATAACATGAAAAAGAATATAAATAAGAGATGTGTTTGTGTCTGTGTGTTAATCGTGTATAATTTATGAGCAGAAAATTGAATTCAAATTAAAATTATATCAAAGGAATAACACATAAATCAAAGTAACAATGCACAAATTATTTTCCATGTAAAAAAAAGAAAACTTTTTTAATTTATTTGTGTCAAAGGGCCCAGAGAAAAGCAAATATGCGGCCACAGCATACTTTGAACCAGTTTTTTCAGAAAATATATGACAATACCCTACAATAAAAAGGTAAGGCAGGGTTGACATCCAGCTATAACTTACATGTGACAAATTGGAAAGAAAATAGCTAAGCTAAACTATAGATAAATGCATTTCTGTAAAAATCTCTTTGACAAAAAAGGCTTTCGACTCGCATTTGATTTAAATTTAATAAAACATAAGTAAATATTTGCGAGCTGACTTGCAGAAGTCAAGAAAAAGATGGGTATACATTTTTATTTGTAGAACCGTTTTGAACTCATTTATCTCCCTACTGAATGATAACGCACAAGAATGAATGCTTCAAGCCGCAACATGCTTTCTTATTTCCTGAAACATTTATCATGGCATCAACGAACCACCCGCTTAGCCAGTCAGCTACACATATGTAACAATGATAAAATGCTAAGGATACGGCAAGTGGCCATTGTGCGTTACGCTTTAGACGCTTTACGCTTTTGTCCTGCAGGAAGTCTCATAAGTCATTTCTTCAAGTCAAATAATTCATAATCGATTTGTAGCGGCAACAGCAGGACCAGCATCCCACCAGGCTGAGTTTGCGTTGGGCAAACAAAACTCGCGCGAACGAGCATTCGCCGCGGGACAAGTTCGTTAGGCCAGGCTAGTGCGTCAGAAAAGTTGCTCCAACATTTACCTATGAAAATCAAAATGTACCCTGGGAAACAAAGGTACAGGATGACTACAAGACAAACAAAATACGCTCGTTGAATTTCTATTAAGGCAACTAACTCAAAAGTAATTGCTAGCTAGCGCAGTTGAGTAGCAATTGCACGCTTATCCCCCCTCACTGACCACATCTCAGGTAGAGTGTGGCTTTGGTTAGGTCTCCAGCTGCTGCTGGTCACCAATATGTGCGCGTTAATGGATGCCTAAATAAATGATAACTGCAAATTACGATTCCTTGCAAGGAGCAGAAGCCAGAAGCAGCCTCACGTACTGCTAAATACATTCCGCTCTGCTGCAGTTGATCCAAAATATTTCCACGTGTTTTCACTGTGGCTCCAAAGTTGAGTCAAGTTACAAAGTGCTTAGTTTTTCTTTATTTTTTTTTTTTTCTTTAGTGGCAACTCTAGGTTTTTGGGATTCTACAATTTTTTTGGTTTTACCATTTTGTTATGCCAAGCTCACCTCAACGGACAGGTGGGTAGTTAGGGGGGTCAAGTGAGTGCTCTGCGGTTAGGTATGTGTGGCGGAAGGAGATCATTAATTTTTAATTTTAACATTTTGCTGTACACTTAAGCGAATTTCCTGCGCACACAGCGTGCTCCACCACAGCTATGGGCAATCAAATTAAAAATGCATCGATGTGTAAGTTTTCGCTGATGATTCGCCCGGTGGGTTGCGAATATACAAAAACAAGTTTGTATGCTTTAGCCGAGAGAGTTTTGACTTGAAGATATCCAATAAAATTATTTAAGAGGACATGCAAATAATAATATATTTTTAATCAACTAGCGGGTTAGCATGAGAAGCTACCTAATATATTGTATCTTTACTTCATGTAATATCTGAGTCGTACGTACGTGCTTTACTGCCTAAAGTCTAAAAATCGACGTATGTGCTAGAAGATATACTTGCACTGGCTCTAGTCCAGAAGGGTATAGAGAATGTTTCAGTTCTAATGATGATTCAAAACTCCAAAATACGCAAAATTTAAAATTGCTTTATTTCTAATGAATAATAGTATTATTTAAATACTATACATTTATAATTAATTTCTTAAAATCGCAAATTTAGACCATTTTAGTTGGAAACATTAGGGAACAGTTGAAAGCCCTCACTGTTACAATGCGCATTCTACACATTGTAATGCACCAAGGAGAATATCTCTAGGAACGCATGTTCTCGAAACAACACATATACCATAGAAGTGCTCAACTATTAAAGAATAAAAACCAATTTGATTTTAAGATATTTTGCATAGGGAATTGTCCCCAACATAATAATTTGAACCCTGCCTTAAAACTTCTACTATCTAAAATCTCTTACGCCTTCAATATTTGAGCAACCACACACCAATTTCTATATTCCTATTAATCAGTTTTATAAGCATCGGGGTTATAGCTGTAAGCTACAATATAATTTTCAATATATGTTAATTATGGCATCGAAATGCTATAAAAGCGCCACAAAAGGCAATTGTAAGGTATCAATGTGAGTTTCCATTAGTTCCGGTTGAACTCAAATGCAAGCATAGGTCGCCCCGGTCGCTTAGGTCGTTGGCAGCAGAAGGTGGCGAAGGGCGGCTCTTTAACAAGGTTAACACAACGCTAAGCAGCTGTCCCTGGCGGGAGCAGCTTCTATGTTCACGTCGCAACCTCAGTGCACTTGAGGCGCATTCGTTCAACGTGCTGGCAGCAGCTAGAAGCCAGCAGCAGCATTGCATACAAATTGCTCTTGCACACATACACACAATGGCACACACATGCATGAGAGTGCAGACTAAGAACTGTTGAAAGACAGGTAAATGTGGGCTGGTATGTTGGTATGTATTTAATGTGGTTAGCCACACATACATATATATGTACATGCAATATCTATAGAGAAATATGTTTAGAGACTGTGGCACGTGAGCGTTGGAAATGCGAAATGGACATTGCTTAATTCCATATTCTGCGGCATGTGGATGCAGCTTGATTTTATGCAACTCAGGCATCATAATAGCTCATTATGCTTGAGCAAACTTTGCTAGGCGCCCCAAAATTCATTAGCTAAAAGGCAGCAAATCGAAATCGAAGAGCACCAAATTGCCGCTGAGAATGTTGTCTTCGCTTTACACAAATCGATACGCTAATTGATTGCCACAATTGCCGCAATTGATTTAGTCTAGCCCCGTCTAATTGATAGCCACAACGTGCCAAGCACATATATCTATACATACAAGTTTTCATTGCGGCTATTTTAAAATATATATAAACCGCAAGACGCCTCACAGGTGAGCCCACAACATTAGCAGCGCCCGCTCTACATGATTTAATAGATCACTTCGAGCGCATCAATAATCAGCGTAAATTAATTAAGCGTTTTACACAGATATATGTATAGTTTATATACACAATCATATATTTATATCTACATCTTATACGCATAAGCTCTCGCAATTTAGAATGACGTCGCTCTTAAGTTTCACAGACAATATTTTTTGATACATACACTTCTACCTATATGTATGTTATATCTATTTCTTATACTCTAGCGTAGGGTATTATACACAATCTTGTCAGCACAAGTGCAACGCATTGCAACTGACAATGTTCCAATTAGGATTAGAAGTCATATTCTGAAACATTAAATGAAGCAAAATCTGATCAGAAATAAATTATTTGAAAAGTAATCTCTTGGTGTTTAAAGACAACAACAATAAGTTAGTTGACATTTAAATAGTCTATCGCAGATTAAATTATTTAGTAACAATACATTTTTTAAATTTATTTTTTCTTGGGATTACTTAAATGTAGTATTATAAATTTGTAATATATGTATCAGCAAGAGTATGCGCGTTTTGACAACGCGCTGTCTTCTTTTCTTTTCTGTTTATTTTTGTTGTTAAAAACTTGTACGTCGCGGTTTATTTTTGGACGCCCAAAAGAAGTGCATAACTTGGCCACGCTCCAACGACCCACGCAAATATATAAAGAAATGCCTCTGTGAAAATGTTATATTGTCTGTGCATAAAATATTAAAATCCCATTTTTTATGAGCGCCAAGTGGTCAAGTGTACAAATAAAATAAACCAAATCTAGAATAACATTTATTCTCTATACTAATAAAAGAAACGCACCGCAGGTGTGGGTGTTTACGAGAAGAAAACGAGTGAAAGAGAGGGAAAGAAATCGCCTGTGTTTATTTTCGCATCTCTGTCAGCTTTTAAAGCTCGCAAATGGCAAACTAACGAATGGCATACGGCGCCTCTTTAATAAATATAAATATACATATACACAATTTATATAGTTGTCGTATAAATCTTGGGCGGGATTAGGCGATATCTTGCCGCTTTAATGTGGCAAATTGTAGTGGGCCATTCACAAATCGTTGCTCTAATTATGCCAATAAAATACAACTAAAACAACATTTTAAAGCATTTTTCTGCATTGTTTATATGCGAAATTCAATGGACATGTTTCCGGTTATGTTAACAAATAATTACTAATTCTCACAAATGTACGTATATATATATACAAAACATTTTATATTGCTAGAATTTCAAACGATTTTGGATCATGCGTGCAAAATATAAATACAAAAGAATTTAATATACTACAAATATTTAGCCATTGCATTTTAGGCATTGCTTGTTATACATGTGTAGCCTTAAATCTTAAATTCACAGCAAATCTTATCAATTGATTTAGTTAAGGTAGGGTAGTTTCTTGGAAATTTGACCCATAGAAAATTTGTTATTAGAATTTTGTGATTCCCAAAAACTAAATTAAATCGATTACGAGAGTGTGGGAACAAATCGGATTATCTATCAAGAAATTTTACGGTGTAATTAATTAAATAAATCGTTAAAATTGTTTTCAAGATTGAACTTTAGGTCCGTAAAACTGGCAGTTCCTAGAAATAAATATTTAATTATTAATTGCTTAACTACTACTCTATAACAACAAGAGCGTTAAATGATTCTATATTTGAATCGGGACTTTTTTTGAATGTTTCGAGAATCGAAAAAGAATTTGGATCATATTCTGCACTAGTTCCCATTTGGTCTATGCAGAAATTCAATTAATAAAACAATATCCATTAGGCGTACAAACGCAAAACAACTAATAAAAGTTGCATTAAACGTGAAACCAGCTCGTATAAGTGGCGAATGCACAAATGCTGGCATTAAGTGGAGGCTGCTGACGGAAAGCTGCCACATTAATTTGTAAATTCTGGCTAAGTGGCGTCGTAAACATGAATTATATTCAAATGCATGGCAAAGGCCGTACACGCGTAGCATAAATTCATAATTTTTCATTAGCACACACAGATAGACATGGCGGGGGCCATTAAAACGTCGCCAACTATTGACTTATGACCAACAGGAGACAACGCCCCGCCGCCCCAACGTAGCGGCTAATTATAAGCGACGCTGTCCGGCCATTAGAATAGGAAGAACAGGAAGAACTTAGAAAAGCACAAACATGAAAAAGAAATGAAATCGTAAATATTATTTTTAGCTTAAAGAAGGCAAACCAGCCAAGAGCTGAGCAGAAAAGTTTTCCAAGTGGCAGACAGTCAAAGCGAGAGATTGGCGTAGTTGTTGCTGGTTTTGCGGAAAACGACTTTATGTGTATCCGTAAGATACATTTAATGTGTGGTTTATGGTCTTGTTAGTTTCGTGGGCGGTTTAATGAACACGCGTCGTATACGTAATGGACACAAATTGAAACTTTTGTCACTGTTCATTTGTAAACTAATAGAATGCACACGGAATTCATTTATTTATCTTTGGTATGCTATAAAATTGTAGCGCAAATATTTGCAATTCAATTGCAGCAGAAAGCCGAAACATATAAAACAAATTTAAACATATATAAATATATATATATGTGTATATACATACATTCCTACATACATTCAACATTCGCTCAAGGACAGTCAAATGCAAAATGACATGAAAAATATGCCGAAAATTGAACAACAACAATGGCAGCAGCATACGGAAGGGATACGATACACGATAACAAACGATAACTTATTGACGTTCTACTTTTACTTAGCATTCAAAGTTATGTGGTTTTTTTCCAGCGCTATCAAAGTGACTTCTTTCGATAGCCAATTGCAGTTCAAATGGTCCACACAAATACACACACACACACACACACAAGCCCAAACTCTTCAAGTTGTTGTTCAAAATTACTTAGCACTTTATAAAGATTCAATATTGTATTTGAAAGTTAACACTTACAGCTGGGTTCATGCTAAGAACTCTTTGCACCAATACCAACATAAACTTACCTAAAACGAAAGAAAAGAGCAAAAATCAAAATATATTTATTGAACTCCACTTAAGGCTAGCCTACTTGTAGATATTCTCAATTCTTATACTGAGTACATTTCATGCAAACTTCCGTTTCTACATCTCCCAGCAATTTAAATTGTTCAGCTTGTTTATATGATTGTTTTCGGCTTGTTTTGTTTTAGATTTTATTCTTTTAGATTTCTGGACGTGAAAATAAACAAAAGTGTTGGAAGATTTTATGCGCGCCTCAGCAAAACAAACGGAAATCGACAGCCCAATATATAAGAGTAGTTAGTAAATAAATATAGAATAAAAAGAAATGCGTGCATATAAATAACGGATTTAAATTAGATGCAAAATTAATTAGGAAAAATGGAAATGCAGTACAATAAAATTAGTTTTAAAATATAAAGGCCATTAAAGAAATTTCGTATGTAGTACCTAAATGCTTCTAAATTATATTGTGACGGATTGAACGGTTGCCATTCGTAGGGAATTCATATCGTGCTTTACTTTTCCCTTTTACTCTTTGTGATACCTTGTATCATAATAGGTGCTACACCGTTGGAAATTCTTTTTTGATTGAATAAATAGTCAATAAAAGAAAACAATGATAAAAAAAGGAACAAGATAGAAAAATCGAAAAACCAAACAAGAAAACTTAATAAACTATTCAAATTTAATATTCAGATCTTAAATTATTTAAGTTTAGCTTAACATTGAAAAATATTTTTAATGTTTTTCTGGCTTAAATGTCAATTCGTTTAAGTTGTTCTCCGCTATTAGTTATTAATCACAAACTTATTATATCTCTCTCTCTCTTTCTCCTTATATCTATCTGTATCTATTTATCCAAATATCTAAGTCTAGCTATCTCTCTATCTCTATACCTCTCTTTTTCTCTCTGTCTCACTATTTAATTTCAAGATGCAAACAACAAAAGCTATGAGCCATTAAAAAGTGTGTGAAAAATAAGAATTACATATCCACTAACAAACACATATACACTAACACATGTGCACACGCGCACACACACACACACTTAAATTTTGGCATTATAAAGTGTGAGTAAATTGCTTGTAGCATGGCAAGTAATCGCCCACTGTGCAGCACTTCGTTGTTGTTGTTGTTTTTGTTGTTGTTGTTATTGTTTTTGTTCTTGGTGTTGTTGTTATTGTAGTTGTTGCTATGACGGTATCGTCGCTAATAAACCGCTTATCTAATTTGTTATAACTTTGTTGTTATTTACCTATTGTGGGCCGACAAACAAAAAGGCAAGCAAACACAAAAGCTTCAAAAGCCCACTCACACGCAAGCACACAGACACACACACACACATACACACACACACTCGAGCGCATACAGCACACAGAGCGTGGTTATCTAAAATTGTTATATGGCATGTTAAAAATCTCTGTAAATTATTATTGATTTTTACGGCAGCCGCGACCATAGAGCTACCTAATGAGCGACGCACACTTGATAGAAACAACAATAAAAACAAGAACACAAATTAAGTGCAGTTTATTAGTTAAATTGATAAAAATTTATAACGCCGGCGCACAGTGGTTTGAGCTGCGAACAAGCATCAATAATAATGTTGAGATTGTGAGAAGTCAAATCTGTTTTTGAAAACTGAATGACTTACTCTAGAAATGTAGACGGAAGGCAATATTGTATAAACAAATGCAGACTTATCTAATGCTGTAATCAAAATATTCGAAAATTCCATTTCCCTAAAATATATAGTCATAATTATTTTCTAACGCCTCTTATAATTTGTAGCTATCACACATTCAAGACCGTTCCCTTACACCTCTTAAGCACTCTTTCACCCTGCCCTTTACAACCTACTTTAGGAGATCTAGCATCCACGAGGTGGCGTTTTTGCCCACATTAATAAAGACTTCCTAAAGTAATCGAAAATTATATGAAAATTTTGTAACATTTGTTTCTATGTAGCAAGAACGTTTGGTATATTTTGAATGTGCTTTAAAATTCTCGAATACTCATATCCCAGTCTGTGCACCTAGTTTAATACCAAGTACTCACAACTCACGCTGAGCTAGGTTTTTGCTCTAACTACCCATACGCTCGTTACACTGTGCATAGCACCGTGGACAACGATATATTATGAAGAGCGCCCTCAAGTGAGCGCTGACTTCAACTTATGTAGTATGTCCAAAGTTAACATCAACTGATGTCATCAGATCTTTATCGTTGTGTGTGTCTGCATCTGTGTGTGTGTGTGTGTGTGTGTGTGTAGTTAGACCGGCAACAGCAGTATTAGTTCATTGTCTGCTTAAGAGCGGGGCACTTCAACAACAACAACAACATAAACAATGAACTGTGCACTTAACAGCTCGTGTGCCTTAGATGTTAGAAAGTATTTATCTTGTTCACGCTTAGCTAAATCTTTGCGTCTATCGGCACAAGTTTTGCATATTTGATTTTGCATAACAATTACCAGAGGCCCTAACAGAGCGTTGACACTTGGCTGTCATAGTCCGATAATATCGGCAGATCAGTGCAAAAGGCCCACCCAAAATAGACGCTGTTAAACAATGCAAATGACACACAGCCCATAAGCTGAGACGGTTAGCTAGACAAGCAGATACTTAGCCATATATAATATGTGTATAAATATATATATCTGTACATATCTGCATTATAGCAAAAGGGCCAGTACCGACGAGCATTTGATGCGATTTGATGGCTTCTGCTGGCAGCGTGCCCAAAAGCAGCGGTCTCGGTGTCACTTGTGCAAATGAAAACCAAATTAGAAATATTTTGCAGAAAAAAAAGTAACATAAGAACACAAAAAAAAAATGCCAGAAATCTCAATTATTTTGCAAAACATGTGTTGGCTGTAGATGCGCTTCATGTTTGGCAATCCGTCAGATACGCGTGCTGCTGCTGCTACGAAATAGTTCTTTCCATCTAAACAACAGGCGACTATAAGTCATGAACACAAAACTGAAAACTTAAATTGAAATCTTTTAAGCAGACCAAGAAACGATACGACAACTAAAAGTTGGGAGTACATTTCGTTTTGTAGCTGTCAAAGACTTGTGTACTATTTCTTTATTTAATACATATTTTAAATTGAAATTCAATTGCGAATTAAAATAAATAAATGGCAAAGTGCCCAGAGGGAAAACCAACAAATAAGCTGACAAATAGCATAAAATTGATTTCGCACTAAATCAAATTGCATTTCATTCAAACACGAATGCAATATTTAATGAAAAAAATATTTAATCACAAAAAACTAGCACTTTAATTAATTTTTATTAGCAAATCAATATTTGTCAAAAGACTCTTTATGGCCGCTTGCTAAATGCAAATATACATCAGCTAAAATTTTATTATTTATTTGATATTTATTTTCTGAAATATGTTCTGCAATATAAAGAGCAGAGTCCTTGCATATCTTGCACTACCTCACTTATCACTTTCGCTCTACTTACTGCTACTCACACGCCACCTCTTATTGATGGAAATGAGTGTCCATCTGTAAGCATATTTCAGTTCATGAAAATCACATAGAAAGGTGATGTGTAAAAAGGGAGTGAATAGAAGTGAGTTTGAATGTAAGTTAATAAGAATTAAGAATGTAAGTTAATAAGACTTGGTACAGGGAATCGCCTTATTTTTCGCAAATGCACCTTGCCCTATTTACCGAGTTTTCTATCTAACTAAATAAAATGCAATTTAATTAATGGCTTGACATGGAAGACTAATTATTCTAGACAATCAAGTTTTCATGGAGACTGCAAATATAAATAAATGCCCTTTTAGTGTGGAGTTTCTCCAATGTCAACAGGTTAACAAACATACATATATATACAGCCACACACAACATTGGTATACTTTTCGTTGCCTAGCCCACATGATAAGTAGACTGCATAAAAGTAAACATAATGCATATTTGACATGCTAGAGTGAACAGTGAAATTTCTTGGATGCTCCGCACTTGGCACATGCCAAAAGAAGACACATGAAGAGGTAATACCAGCCAGTACTTGACCAAAAAGCACTGCATTATGCAAAAAGCAACTTTAACTTAATTTAAAAGTGCCACTGAGTGGAGGATGCACAGGAAAATCTCTGTGCAACAGCAACAGCATCACCAACACCAACAGCAACAACGTCGACCGCATAAAGATTGAATGCACTGCACAAAAGAAACAAATTCCAGTGCCGGGCATCAGGCCGAAGAATGCACTCGGAAATGCTCAACATACAACCAAAAACAAAAAACAAACAAAAAAAAGAAAACAAGCGCAAGTGGTGAAAATCCTCGGAAAATCCATGCGGCGACGGCCGCCAAAGACAAATGTGGGTCGCAAGCGCAAAGTGCAACAACTTGCACGCACTAACACACACACACACACACAGAGAGAGAGCAGACGGCAAACGGAAGACAACTAGCCACAGAGGGGTAGGTCGGGGTACTGTTGTTGGGGGCACCGACAGATGGCGAAAAGATGCAGCTGGGAGATATGGACACTGGGTGAGCAACGGGGACGGGAACGGGAACGGAGACGGGTATGCCGTCGCCGCATGCCGCACGCATCATGAAAATACGTAAAAACAACAAGAAAACTAAACCATGTTTTTTGTACTTTGTTTTTGTTATTTTGGCACTTGCCGTTTGGCTGGAAAACTCAGAGCTACCCTTCCCTTCCCCCATTCGCGTGCGTTGTCTGGATTTTGACTTTGGGCTCTTGCACTGCTTAAGTGAAATTTAATGATATTTTTACAGGCCAACTTGAGCTGGCAACAGGTGTTGGTACTGGCCAATTTTTGTTTCGCACTTACTGCTTCTGCTAATTTGTTAAATTGAAGTTCTAATTTTATTGTGTTGCTAACAAATTTCCGTGGGCCAATGTATTCAGCTGTAAGTTGGCGAAAAAACAACAAAAAAACACAAGAGACTGAAGCAAATTCTTGTGAATACTTATGACAAGTGCTCATTTAGTATTTATAAAAT